ACAACAAAAAAGGAATTAAACCAATAAAACTAGGGAACATAGAGCAAAGTTAAGAACAACAAAACCATGACAGTAATTAGTCAACGTGAAACCTTCCAGGAATCTCAATAAGGCTTCATTTTGTGTCCTGGAGCTTTCAATGACGTGAAAAGTAGATTTTATTTCTGCAGTGAGTAATTGTAGTTGATTTGAAAGCTTTCCATAGTAAAACATGATGTATATTATCATGCAAATAAGAAATAAAAGAGATGAGTAAAATGTGAATAGAAGAATATACATGACTTCAACATCTAGAAAACAGGAGAGGCACTGTGCTGCTGTCGGCTGCCGGCTCTTCAGCATAGAAATGGGAGTAGGTGAGCCACTTCACAGGGCAGTCTCTGAAAACATTAATTGTGAAGGATACATTATTTTCAGCTGCAGGAATAGAGTAAAAACACCAAACATTATTCTCCGCTGTTTGGAAATCCTAAAATATTTTTACCGGTGATACTTCTGTCCTTTTCTTCTCTGGTATTCTGGTTCATCCACGGTCCACACAGCTCCCTTCTCTCCTTCCACTCGTACAAAACACTTGTGAAGGCTCAGATTGTGACGTATTGCATTCTATGGAAAAAATGAGGCAAGTTTTTTTTTTCTGTCATAACGATGCTTTGATTTAGTAAGAGAGGTCAGAGGAGTAAAGAAAGTGTAGGTGTTTAACCTTCCATGTAGCTGTGTTGTGTCTGAAGTAGAAGAACATGGTAGTAAACCAATTGTAAATCTCACTCAGAGTCCTCTGTTTGTCTGGAGACTCCAAGATCGACTGCAAAGTGTCACATAAAACAGTCCCCACATGTACATTTAGACCAGTCAACAGGTAACTAATGTGTTTTTTTACTGTTATCTGAAACTTCACGCCACTGTTTTTTATTACTATTTGCTCTTTTATCAAATTAAATGTAATTACCCATCTTATCAGGTAAGCATAGGTGTATGGAGGCCGGATGTTGTTGTATTTGTAGCATTCAATACCCGGGAACAGATCTGCAAAACAATGAGAACAAATCAGGAAAAAATCCAACAGGGATTTTTGATCCCCTTGTATTCTCATTAGATTAAACACAGTAATAATCAGTTTCCCATGTACATAGCTGGGTCATGCTGCAAGCTTGAATTAAGTTTTTTTCACAGTACGAGCAGGATGTCATTGTCATGCCAGGCAAAAATAAAGCAATTACACTTAGACAACTTTTATTGTCATAGAGTGTATACAAAACAAAATTTCTCTAGAAACTCTGATATATTAGTTGGAATTTTTAAACCTCCACCAATATGCTTACATTTATTTCTAATTATAGCATTAATTTGCTCATATTCTATTGTTAATGCCTGTTACGTCCACCAAGGGCACAACATATTTGAGGACACAAGACAAAAAGA